GCATTGTTCCAAATTTAGCTACAGACACATTTCCAGTGAAGTGAAGGATCTGTATACTTCCTCAAACTTTATGCAAACACAGGTTGATTTGAATGTTGCAGCTGACTCTGAAGAGCAACTCACGTGCTGAAAGCAGTGTCAACATCTACATACTATTATTTATAGTTGTATTGAAGAAACATAAAGGACAAAAAGCAACACATAACATACTTTATAAGGACATTAGATTTTGTTATTGAGATTTTTGTTGTTTTCTGTTCCCGTAACTTTTAGCCATGCTAGCAGCGTAGCTCCAGGGATGGCACAGTTGATTGGTCTTTGGTCCAGACTGACGCATCACAACAGCAACTGGATGGATTGTGGTGCTTTGGTACAGACATTCATGATCCTCAGGCCAAAGATTCGTCAGGAGACAAGTTGAAACAGGAGACTACGTGCAATGCGCCGTTCTGCAATGTTCTAAACACCTGCCGGTTCACAGGAAGTGACCACGCTAAGACGGTGTATCATCTCTAGTCAACAACTCTCTGTACTTCTGATCTGGAACGTTGACATTGAGTGTCCACCATGAGACAATCAATATAATTTGTAGCTTAAAATCTGAATGAGATAGTGATAGTGAGATACTGGCAGTGCTTAATTTGAGCCGGAACGTACTGGAACACATACCAGGATCTTTTCAGAAAAGGCCCTGGTGCATTCCGGAACTAATTTGTATGGGTCTAGAACTTTTCGCATCTAAAAACTAGGCTACATACAGTATTGGCTGATGTCACTAGAGTTGCAGGGTATACTGGTAGACCGCGGTACTAAAACTCCACAGTACATATGATAGTTCAAAGTCCTATCGCAAGAGGGTGAGTGTCCATGTAATGGCGCACGCTGGTCAATAACGGCGCACGCTGGCCACCTGCCACTCAATATGCTGCTGTAGTGGTCAGACATGTGAGTATCTTTGAGCAGTGAAAGTTATTATTTATTTCTTTTTACTTGTCGGCAGTGATTTGTTTTCCACAGAGCTCTATGTGCGAGCATTTTACTCGCATTTGGGACTAAAAATAGTTTTGTCTGAGCAAAACAAATCATTCAGTATGCTGTGCGAGTAAAGATTCAACCAGCAGCAGAAAGGAAAGTTGAATCCTGCAGGTTGTCGGTTGAACCGGGGTCACAGACAGGATACGGCAGTCAAATACTGCGGCCAAAGTGCTCCACGCCGCAACATAAAGGCTTACCGGCGACAGAGAAGTCCGACTCCAGGTCCAGTAATTTCCTCTTCTTGGTGTCATGACTGCCCAAAAGTACCTGAACAGCCGAGCCGTGGCGGCACACAATATGTGACGTGTCAGAGGAGAAATGAGCCGTTGACATTTCTCTCTTTGTGGCAGGTAACAGTCCACAAACCTCACCACACTTTAGGGACTGTTCTTTACTTGTCAGGGGAGGAGGGTGGCTGGTTGATTTTTATTTTATTTATTTATTTTATTTTGATCCCCCCTATGTTAATCACTTATTGATGCTGTTTTTGAAGTATGAATAAGTCATTAAGTAATTTATTCCATTGAAATATCATTGATGTATTATAGAAAAGAGATTTATCTTTTTATAAATGACAAAAGGAACATCTGCCTCATTTTTGCTGTGGTATCATGATACTACTCAGAACCGTGATACTTTCACTGGTATCGTACAGTGGGTCCCAATTTTGGTACCATGACAACAATAGATGTCACAACCATTCCATTTGGAGTCGCGCAGTGAGGCAGCTCGGGTGCCACACTCCCCCTTTTGGGAGTGGGGGAACACTCATCAAAGTTGTTAGAATGTATAATCTTGGGAACTTGAATATCTTTTGTAAATGTCATGACATTTGATTTGTTATAAAGATATTTCAGTCACAACCACAAATGTCACCCTCATGGTGGCACTAGAGTGAAAGTCAGGAGTTCACCAAAGTCGGTAGGAATCACCCTCTGTCTGAACTGGGCTTCAGACAGCATGTTAGAATCTACAGTGTATACAGTTATTACTTAAAAGTTAAAACTACACACATTGCAAAGTAACAACAGCAGAGCTCTCAGGGTTGACCTCCGTCTCTGGAGAGCTTGTGGAATGGCGTTTTGTATTATCTCCAAGGTAACACATATATGAGGAAGAGGGTCAAAGATCAGCGTGCAATGTTATGATGAAGGAGTATGAACGCAGCTTTAGTCTGGCTCAATATTCACCCCAAATATTTTCAAGTATATAAAAAATATATTAATCAGAATTCAGATCATTTTACAGTTGGCAGGTTGGAAAGCTGTGGTTAAATTATGGGACACAAAGAGAAGAAACCCAGACTGATGGAACTGTTTCTTTAGGCCTGATCTGACTAGGTAGTGTTGGTGTTAGGTCAGAGTGTGTGTGTGTGTGTGTGTGTGTGTGTGAGTGTGCGTGAGATGGGGCTATTAAAGTGAGTGAACTGTTTGTTCAGGCTATATAAAAATACTTTGTCATATTTTCTTGTTTTACTCCTCCATGTTTGAATTTATCAACACTCATAATTTAAGTGTGGAAAAACACAGCCACTGCAGAATGAAGCTTTATTTATTCATGTCGCTGCCCTAATTATCATTCAGTACAGCTGGTGGTCACTATTTGTTTGTGGCTGTGGTCCAACAAAATGATACCAAACATGTTTTTGCAAAAGAGGAAGTGAACTCTGTTTTGACTAATATGCAAATAACTGGTGCATCTGAACAGTTTTCATCCATCCATTTTCGAGCTGCTTATCCTCTTGAAGATCACAGGGGGTGGGGGGTGGAGCCTATCCCAGCTGACATTGGGCGAGAGGCAGGGTTCACCCTGGACAGGTCACCAGACTAACACAGGGCTGACACATAGAGACAGACAACCATTCACACTCACATTCACACCTACGGACAATTTAGAGTCACCAATCGAACCAGGAACCCTCTTGCTGTGAGGCGACAGTGCTAACCACCACACCGTGCTGCCTTGAACAGTTTCCATGAAGTTAAAATAACACTGAGGCACTGTAAACCTTTTATGTTGAACATAACAAGCTATTCCATCAGCCATCTGGTCTGGTTTGGTTTGGTTCGCTCACCCTGCTGCCAGAATGACATGACCCCCAGGTGAGAGGGAGAAAAGAGTTGGATAAAACTTTACTGATCCCAGATGAAATATTAACAAGCTCCTCGACAGTATGTAAAGTAATTAAAATGAGCATTTTCCAGCTGCAACATTAAAGTGATCAACACATTAATCCATCAATAATTATAATTTAATAACATAATACACTTTGTTCTGAAATTGGCAATTCTGCATATGAGTACTTTTACTTTTAGTACTTCAGGTATATTTTGATGCAGGACTTCTGTAAACCAAAACCCAATTTGAAATAATGTTCACGTCTCCCACACCGCAGCTCTGATAATTAAATTAAACAAAAATGACGTGCAGTTTGGGGATGCGATGCGTAAAGTGGGCAGAGGTGGTGCGCATTGGTTTGATATTTTATTGATTCACAGAACAATAGTTTCCAGTTTTGTATTAAGTTGATTTAAATAAGTCATTCAGGTTTCTTAGGAAAGCTAATCTGGCGCCTAAATCTGCTAAATGCCAACTAATTTAACTAAACATGTTACATTTTTTTGGATAAAAAATATGACAACAAATTAATAAGCCTGGTTCTTAATGAAGTAAATTTTGGTGACCTTAATTCATACTCTGTGCATGATGACAAAGAGGTCCCCTTAAAGAGACAGCCCTGCTCTTTTTATATATCTTGCTCTGTTGTTCCTAAAGTAAAAGAATCATTTTGAAATATTATCAGCAATATTCCCTGTTGGTAACTTTCTGCACAAAAGATTTAAATTTGCTTTTGATCCATGTGTCTTTTGCTCTTCAGAAGCTGAATCTGTTGAACATCTATTCTTCAGATGTTCACATGTCACTTTGTTCTGGTCTGAAATCCATAATTGGCTGTCTCTGAAAATGGACAACACCTCAATTTACCTACAATATTATTTATTTTATGGACAACTTGGATACAAACATTTCTGATAATGTCAGCCTTGTGATTATTACAGGCAAATATCATAACTATACTTGTAATGGAACAGAAGCTCTCCCTCATTCACTGTGTTCTCGTGTAATTTTGCCAATTGCTTTAGATCGCAGAAAATTACGGAAAAACAAAAAGGACCATAAGGCTGTTACACTTTACGTGTCTGATTTTCGGTTTGACTCCTTTTTTGTTTTATGTTTATATTTGGTTGCTGCAATGTCCTTTCCACCATTGCTGTTTGATTCCTGAGTTTACGTTTTGTACTTTAATAGATATATATTTTTTTGTTTTAATTTTTATTATTATTATTATTATTACAATTAATATTATTATTATTATTTACTTTTTATTTATGTGGAGATTTGTATGTATATAATATATATACACATATACGTATAGATAGATTTGATGATGTAGATGTTTATTAATATCATTTTATTTTAATGGTTTACTCATATATATCTTTCTTTAATATAAAATAAAAATGTGATCACAAAAAAAGTTTTGTGAAACTGTCCCTGTTTTGTTATGTACATTCTAAATACAAGTTAAAATAAATAAATAAATAAGGATATTAATAATAATCATCTCGTCCACTTTCCAGGCAGGGGGAGCTTCGTCTCTAACGAGCCTAACGAAACGTTTATGAACGGTTTGTTGTTGAACGCAGCTTCTTTAATTTCTGTCAAATCGTCAAACAAGCAAAAAGAATATGTCGGTAAGAGTTCTTTACCGCCAGGACAGCAGCGAACCGCTGTCACATAATGTTTATTCTCGTACGGTAACGTTACCCTCAGTTTGTTCGGTGGAGTTTTACAGGTTTAGTATACACTGATAACGTTGCTTTAAAATACTGTATTGTTCTTGAACGCAGCCCAGGTTCGTCTGCTCGTCAGCTCGCCGGACGGCGCATGCGCACATTGTTCATTTCCTGACAGTTGACACAACACAACCAGAAACTTACCTGTGCTCGTGTGTTTCCTTCACCGCTCTGTGTTTCATCGGACTTTCTGCATCTGTGTTCACCTGTGGCTCGCTCCCGGGTCTCCTCGTGCCCCTCCATGCGCGCTCCCGTGTGCGTGACGCTGTTTGTGTGGCTGCTGAGCGATGTGACGGCGCGTCAGTTCACGGAGGAGGAGATGGCTGCTGTCAGGTAACAGAGAGACACCGACACACACCTGAGAGAAGAAGTAATCAGATACTTCACTGCAGTAAATGTACAAACAGCACACAGTGATGAGTGTGAGCTGCAGGTGCTGCACTCAGGCTGGATTTAAAGTAAAGTATGAAGGCGTCACGTGCAGGATGTGACGTTAGCCTGTCATGGTATCAGACTGTCAGCCTGTTCTCAGCTTTGTGACGATGCAACTGATCCCGGGGGGTTTTTAAAGGTCCCATATTCTGCTCACATCCAGGTTCATACCTGTGTTTTGGGTTTCCGTCAGAACATGTCGACACGCTGCACTGGTCCAGAAACACATTCTTTCTCACGCACTGTCCGTCTGAACACACCTGTCATCACCGCTCCGCCTCTCTACCTGTACGGACCCTGTTACTGCTCGTAGACGCTGTGAGGTTTTTTGGTGGCCGGGGCTTAGGAGGTAAAACAGGTGTCTACAGACATAAGCTAGGGTTAGCTCAATGAGGCTGTTTCCCACAGTTACTGAAAAGATGACGTGATTCATTCAAGACTTTTATCTGCAAACTGGTCATTAAAAGCTCCAGTGTCGGATTCAGGCGGATACATCAGCAGAAATGGAATATAATATAATAAGTATGGTTTCTTAAGTGTATAATCACCTGAAAATAATCATTATGTTTTTGTTAGCTTAGCATTAGCTGTTTATATCTACATCAGCGTTGCCAGGTGGGAAATGTAAGATTATCGTACCAGAGACTCAAAATTATCGTATTTTGAGGGAAATTATCGCACATCTGTCATGACCAAAATAACAATCCCACTGATGCGCTATAGGCAAATATTGTCACTGTAGTGTTTACTTTTTTGGTTTACTTTTTTCCATGTCAGCCATTGTGGGTAGAATCTCCTCCACGACGAGCAGTGTCAGAAAAACACTTTTGTTTTAAATTGTAAAACGTCTTTATTCAGTGTTTAAGTCTCCTGGTTTGTTTGAGAGAGGAAGAGACCTCTGTGGACGATTCAGCTGCTGAGCAATGAACACTGAAGGAATTATAACCAGGAGAAGTTTCAGCTGGTTGTGATTTGCAGTCTGCACAACATGACGCCACTAAATCTCCTTAAATCTCACACACTCACTGAACCGTTGAGTCAAGCTACGTTTTACCTCATGTAAAGTTTTGAGAGTAAATTGTCTCTTGGCAGATGTGAGAAGTCCTTTTATTTTTTATTCATTAGTCCTTTTTACGATAAAATAAAATACAATAAAGGCACATCTGTTCCCTGAAGCGACAACATTTCCACCGTTAGAAACAGCACAACAGGACAACACACGATACCAGAACACAGGCAACAGGGAAAATCAATCTGGACAAATGTAAATGAGTTGGAATAAACATGATCGTAGGTTTATTTCAGTAACCTCTGTCCTCTCTGTAATCGGCTTCATTTTTCAGACAGCGCATCAAATCTATGTTCTACCATGCCTACAACAGTTACCTTGACAACGCATTCCCCTATGATGAGCTCCGCCCACTCACCTGTGACGGACAGGACACCTGGGGCAGGTAAGGTGACATCATCGTGTTTTGGTGCAGCACACTGAAAAATTAAAGGACTGTTCCTTACTTATGAGAGGAGGAGGGTCGCTGGTGTTTGAGCCTCCCTGAGTGACTGAAGGAAAACCTACGACCCTCCTCCTCCATCAGTGAGTCATTAGATATTTAAAACTGACTCTTTGTTAAAGTTAAAAGATGAAGATGAAATCCTGGAGCTGAAAAAAGACTCAGTTTTGCATTCTTGTCGTGCAAACAGTTTAATTTTTTTTGCCAAATTTGAAAAATAAAATGATTTTAATGAAATATCAATATTTTGAGCTCTGATTTGTTTTGTTTTGTTGTTTTTTTTATTTAATTTCTGATGGAAGCATTTCGTGGCACACTGTTTGCCCAAGCACTGTCACAAATTTGAAAATCCAATGATCATTTCTGTTTTTACAGCTTGAAAATTTGGCAAAATTTTATAAGAAAGATTTTTTGTTGAAGTTAAAGAAACAATTCATGTTTTTTTCAACTGTTCATTCCTTTGCTGTAACTTCTGATTTTTTGTAACGTCAGCATCTTTTCATCTGTTGTGGAGTTTCTGTACCTCGGCCGATAATAAACCATCTCCATCTTTCTCAACAGTTTCTCACTCACTCTGATTGACGCTCTCGACACTCTGCTGGTAAGACCTGAGAATAATTTTAGAAAATGTCAAAACACGAATAAAATTTGCAATTTAGGAATTATTCCAGCGGAGCTATGACACTGTAAACACCTATGATCACGTGATTATTGGCAGAGAAGAAGGTTAAGTTCTTGTCCTGTGGATGTTGACAAGTCGTGCTGCGTTCAGGTATAATTTCAATGTGTATCTCTGAAGGTTTTGGGAAATCATACAGAGTTTCAGCGTGTGGCGTCGCTCCTCCAGGACACGGTGGACTTTGACATCGACGTCAACGCCTCGGTGTTTGAAACCAACATCAGAGGTACGGAGGAGGAGCTGAGGAGGTGTCTCAGAGAGCTCTCCTGATTGTGTTCAGTTATCTAACTGCCCTGTGTGTGTGTGTGTGTGTGTGTGTGTGTGTAGTGGTGGGCGGTCTGCTGTCAGCTCACCTGTTGGCAGGTAGAGCAGGGATGGAGCTGGAGCCTGGTTGGCCCTGTTCAGGGCCGCTGCTGAGGATGGCTGAGGACGCTGCCAGGAAACTGCTGCCTGGTAACACACACACACACACACACACACACACACACACACACTCACTCACAGAATACACAATTATACTGTATCAGTCCAGACGTACAGTTTAATCTGCCTATGTGCTACCAAACCAAACTAAATGCAAACTACTCTGCAGTCAGACAGGGGGCTGTGTGTGTGTGTGTGTGTGTGTGTGTGTGTGTGTGTGTGCTCACTGAGACACGACATCTGTTGCAGTCCCAGTTTGACAGCAGGAAGCAGAAGTCTCGATTCCTTCAGTGTGCACAAGTGTAAATAAATACTGTACAAAGTGGGTGTGAAGAAAATCCTCATTTCACTGATTCAGCAACAACAGACAGGTTAACATCTAAAAACTCAAGTCGTGTTTACATTTATTCAGCTAATAATCATGAACAACCAAGATGGGCTGATTAATCACTTGGTTATAAAATTAATCAGCAACTATTCTAAAAGAATAATTATTATTTATTTGTATTATTTATCATGTGCAAATGCCAAACATTTGATTTTCTAAAGTGAGAATTACATGTTTTTTTCTCATCTCAGTAAACTAAATATGTTTGGCTTTTGGACTGTTAGTCGGACAGGAAATACAATTTGAAGATGCCACTATGAACTTAAAGCCACAGTGTGTAGGAATGTCTCCCGTCTAACGTTGAAATCATGTATTGCATTCAAACACAACACTCTAGCGCCTCACTGTTTCAGACATGTATTGCAAATACGGTAGCTGCTGTGTACCAAAAAGCTATGATAACATTGATGAAACCATGTCATCAGATACTTCATGGAGTATTCATTCAGGCTCCTACACAGACACACGCCACGCCAGGTGACAAACCCCCTCCTCACCATGCTGGCTGTGTTTGCAACGTAGGACTAATGGGGCGGGTGTAACACTATTAACGAAGTCAGAACAATGGGCACCAGTCAGGATTACACCTTAAATCTCTGTTGTAAATATGATTTCAGCATTCCAGACTCCCACCGGCATGCCGTACGGTACTGTGAACCTGCTGAACGGCGTCAGTCCCACTGAAACACCCGTCACGTGCACCGCCGGCGTGGGAACCTTCATCCTGGAGTTTGCCACGCTGAGTAGACTAACAGGAGACGCAACGTTTGAGAACGTAGCTCGCCAGGCCCTGAGAGCCCTGTGGAAGACCAGATCTGACATCGGACTGGTAACTAGTCCACCTGTCTGTCTGCTTTTATCTCAGTAACCATGGAAACACCTGTTTTTCCTCTTCTTCACACACACACAGCCTTTTAGTTTACAGTAATCACATTTCAGCAGTACATGAAGCAGATAAATGCCATTAATAAACAAAACTTCTGATTTACAGGTCGTAACGCCCATAGACATATATACATAGACGCCGCGTTGACTGCTGCTGCCGATTGGAGCGACGCGCCTACACGGCGGCCATCTTGGTTCAGTGCCACTCGCTCCTTTTATTACGTCTATAGAGGAATGACGTGTTTGCACTAGTGATCATAAATCGCAGACAGACAGATACAGACATAAATAGAACAAAAGGAACGCAGAAAACGTTTAGGTGTGTTCAGGTCTTTATTTAGAGAATTGCTTGTAGGGTATATATTGCATTTGATTATTATAATTATATTGCCATTATCATTATCAATTTATTATTATTATCGTTATTATTTTTATTATCACTCTCATTATTATCATTGTTATTATTGTAGGTATAAAATCAGCTGTCTCTACCCTTTGTGAACAGCAGACCGTCAGTCTGCAGGATCTTACAGGATCCATCACATGCTGTTATTTGTTTGAGTGTACATGTTAAATACATCCAGTATCTATCATTAATCTTCTAACTGGTCAATCACTGCAGTCTAAGGTCTGTTTTTTTTTTTTCAGACCAGAGACAGTTTATAGATGAAATAACATTGCATTGTAACCAAAATTATGTCTCAAGTTTCACTAGTAAGCAGCTGTGTAATTCATGGGAGTAGAATTTGTATTTGAGTAGTAAAACAGGCATTTTTAAAATGTGGAAGTGCCGTGATTTGTTAATTGTGGCGTAGCTGCTGGTCAGCGAGAGGTTCTGCTCTCTGCTCTGTTTCAGTCACACGTAGAGCTCCCACTCTGCTCGTCTCTGTGTTTAGACACAACTGACAAATATGTGGAATTATGGGATGCATATCATTTATCAAGGTCAGATCATTGATATCATATCTAATATATCCTTCATACTGTTTAAAGTAGATTATCAGTGTGTTTTCTTGTCAGATTCACTCGTGGCTCACAGAGAAACAAGGCCAGACCTTAAAACTTTCACTGCAGATTGCCAGCTGGCCAGAGCACTCGCCGCTGCGCCGTGTCCAGTGTGAACAGACGCCGAAAGCAAGCGGGCAGCGTGCCATAGAAAATTGTCGCGCTTTGCAGCCAAAAAACTGTTGTGTTTTCATTATTAGCTGTTTATCTCCACAGGGAGCAGGTCCTCGCCTACAGAGATCGCCATGTTACACTGCCATGTTTGTACAGTAGCCCAGAACAGACAAACCAAACACTGACTCTAGATAGGGACATTAGCGCTTTCATGTCAGCCATTGTGGTTAGAAGCCCCTCCACGATGAGCAGTGTCAGAAAAACTATTTTACTTAGTGTTTTAAAATCAGCTGGTCCGAGAAGAGGAGAGCTCTGCGGATAATTCTGCAGCGTGCCAAACAGCATAAAAGAAACAATGATTTGTAAAATGAAACTGATTTATTCAGTGTTTCTCCTGGTTTAAATCAGCTGCTCTGTTTGTTTTAGAGAAGAAAATGCCTCTGAGGATTATTCAGCTCCCGGTTAAAACGTCCTGAACAATGAACGCTGACGAAATTCTAACCAGGAGAAGTTTCAGCTGGTTACAATCTGTAATCTTCACTGCGAGATGCCACTAAATCCCCTGAAATCTTACACATTGAACATCTAAGATATTGTATATAATGTTGTGTGTATATATATATATATATATATATATATATATATATATATATATATATACTGTCTTTTAAACTCCGACCTGCAGTAACATTAAAGTGTCCTACAAGGACAGAGTATAACATCAACAGAGTATAAAGTAAAAGGATGTTAAGACATAATAAGGAATATAGATCTGAGTTTTTTGGAATGAGGAAGTGGCTCTAAAACAAGAGAAAATGCAGAAATGGTCCAAAAAACATTCAGTGACCTGCATCTCTCTAATGTCTGTCCTCCTCTGTCTGTCTGTCCAGGTGGGTAACCACATTGACATCTTGTCTAAGAAGTGGGTGGCTCAAGACGCCGGCATCGGAGCTGGGGTCGACTCCTACTTTGAGTATCTGGTGAAAGGAGCCATCATGCTGCAGGACGAGGAGCTGCTCAACATGTTCCTTGGTAACGCTCTGCCTGCACGCTGTTAACAGAGAGCGAATATCAAACCCTGTCTAGCTGCGATGATGAGTGCATAAAATGAATGTTAATTTACATCAGTCTGAATCCTCAGAGTACGATCGAGCCATTCAGAACTACACCCGATTTGACGACTGGTACCTGTGGGTCCAGATGCATAAAGGAACCGTCTCCATGCCTGTTTTCCAGTCTCTGGAGGCGTTCTGGCCCGGCCTGCAGGTACAGAAACACACAAAACCTCACTGAAGGCTGCCAACAATCCCAAATACACACTAACATCATCTGTGTGTGTGTGTGTGTGTGTGTGTGTGTGTGTGTGTGTGTGTGTGTGTGTGTTTGTTTCAGTCTCTCCTGGGGAACCTGGACAGCGCAGTGAGAACTTTCCAGAACTATTACTCAGTGTGGAGACAGTTTGGAGGTCTGCCAGAGTTTTACAGCATCCCTCAGGGTTACACTGTGGACAAGAGAGAGGGATACCCACTGAGACCAGGTCAGTCCACCGACCTGCAACCACACAGAAACAGATCAGCACACAAAGACAGAATGTTACAGGCTGAACAAAGTGCTGCTGGTTGAGTCATTAAAAGGCGTCACATAAATCATTTCAAACTCTTGGCTTTTATTTTGGAGGACAGGAAGACTGTGCTGTTTGTAGCAGCTGATCGTTGAGTAACTCGCTCCCTGGCTGTGAATACAAAGTGTTTCTTTGTGTGTTCATGTATTCCAGAGTTGATAGAGAGCGCCATGTACCTGTTCAGGGCGACAGGTGACCACACCTACCTCCAGCTGGGCCTCGACGCTCTGGAGTCCATCGAGAAGATCACCAAGACGCCCTGCGGATACGCCAGCGTAAGATCCGTCTGAGTCTGAAACATTGTTTAGAGGCAAAGAGACCAAACTTTAGTCTGAAGCTGTTGTGGTCATTAAATAAGAACTCATCTACAACACGCCATGCTGGTATAAAAGGGATAGTTAAGATTTTTTGAGGTGGGATGGTATGGTGTTTTTATCCATAGATTATATTACAGACACAGCAGATGTCTGTCAGCAGGCCCCTAGTTTGGATCTATATGTTAATATATTCCCCAAATTCCTACACTGGAGCTTCAACAGAGACAAAAGTAAAGAAATTTTTTGAAGTGCAGCTGAGGTGGGCGGCTTCCAGGTGTCTCCAAAAAATGATGTTATTTGGTGCGTCATTGGTCATTAATTTTCTGTCAATCAGCCAATTGATTTATTGTTTAAGCTCCATAAATACATTTTTAAATACACAGTTTGTCATAGAATCCTTTCAGAGTCTTAAGTATGAAATTACGACTCGTGTGAAACAAAACAAAAAATACATGAAAATTATAATAAAAGAAGAAAAAATGGAAACAGTAGTGATAATATTTAGATATTTAAATTCAGTCATCTCCCTGCAGGTTAAAGACCTGCGAGATCACCAGCTGGACAACAGGATGGAGTCTTTCTTTCTGGCTGAAACCATCAAGTACCTCTACTTGCTCTTTGACCCCACCCACTTCCTGCACGGCGGGGGGGCGGAGGGGGATGGGTCCTGGGAGGAAGGAGGCGAGGGGGGGCAGTGTGTTTTAGGGGCGGGGGGATTCATCTTCAACACGGAGGCTCACCCTCTCGACCCCGCGGCGCTCTACTGCTGCAGCCGCCATGCCCAGGACCGCCAGGAGCTCCGGGACATCCTGCTCAGCCTATCACAGCCCACGGAGAAGTCCAGCAGCAAATCAAAGCCGCCTGACAAACAGACAGAAGGCCCTCCCCCCAGCCAATCAGACAGCATCGCTCTAAAACCAGGTGAGAAGAGGACACCCCCCCTGCTGTCCTGCCCCGTCCAGCCGTTCAGCGCCCGACTCTCCATCCTGGGACAAGTTTTCACTGACAACACCTGACGCCCGCCCGAGTCACATGACCTGTAATACTTGATGACATCATTCAGTCACTGAAACTGTTGTTTTTTGTTGTCATTTAGAAAACATGTTTTTATAACACATTACGCCCAGAACACACAGCCTGAGTGAGCAGCCTGCGTGCGTCGCAGAACCTAGGTTTTTCTTTTTTTTCTGCCACCACGTGGCGTGGCAAGGCATGGCGTGGCGTGGCTGCTGCGGCGGCAAATCTAGAGAATAAGAGTCTTGCCTATTTTCCCATGTGATGCGAACAACTTCAGCAAAAATAGACGGTGAAAAAGATCTTTTGATGATCATATTGACATTATACCACCTCATTACAGTTTCAATATTTATATCTGTCACAGACAAAAACATAAATACTTCTTTTAACTCAACACTTCCTGTCTCCATTTCAAAATAAAAGACTGCGTTTCTATGACAGAATCCCTTCATTTCTTGACACAAGGCTTTTTTGTGAAATATTTGCAGGATCGCGTTCTTGACAATAGTTTGGCTGCACAGCTCTATGACTGACTGAAGTGACGACTTTTAACTGTGGAAATATCATTGTTACAGCAGCAGGCAGCTCTGCAGCAGCAACACTGTCAGTGTGAACATCGCTCCTGTACAAGCAGCAGCATTTCGGTGAGGTTGCATCTCAGCTGCTCACGCAGGCGGCGTGTTGTGGGCGTTAGGAACTGAAACAATCAGGCGTATTTCATCGTCCGCCACCAGGACGTTTGAACATGTCAGCTGGAGTTTTGAAGATTCAGTTTCCAAACCAGTTTCAGTCCAGTTTAGGGATAACAGGTTCTTTTGGTTTTTTGTTGTTGCACTCAGGACGAGTGAACCCAGAACTGTGATTTTCACTCTGTTGCTTTAATTTAAACTGAAGGTGAAATATATTTTTATTTATTAGAAATGTTGTGTTGTTTGTTTGATTTGTCATATTTGTTTATGGTCAGTGTGTGGCTGTTGAGTTCATACTGAAGACTGAAGAAAAGAGGAAGTTGTGAAAATGAAATTATTTTATAATAAAATATAGATATGAATTTGAATTAGAAAAAGCTAAAAAGAAGAATTACAATAGACCTCGAATAACTGAGCTCAATGTCAAGAATAAACATCTACACTTAAATGCAGAATTTACCCCCCCCCCCCCACACACACACACACACACACACACACACACACACTGAGATGCAGACCTGTGTGTGTCTCAATAAAACACCATCATGATGTCAGTGTGTTCTGTACATGAAGCTGCAGTTGTGTAATTGTTTGGAGCTGCCAGGAGGGGGCAGTATATCAACTCTAAGCAGCACCGAAGTGTTTATCCATCATCAGCTACATCTGTGCAGAGCTGTGACACTCACTGTCTCTGACCCTGAGAGAGCTCCGGGTTTGACACATGCACATCAACTGGAGCAGTGATGTTGGAGGTTTTTAGTGAATGATGCTAGAGATACAGGGATGGTGTCGCTCAGGTGCTCTGTGGGGGCGCTAGGCCTGACACAACTTTTGGGTACACTTATATAAAGTATTTGTTAATTGTCTTTTATCAAAGATCTTTTTAATAATTACATATATATATATATAAATAAAATGTAATTCTCACCCATATCTTTACTCTTCATGTAAAATGCATTCTGAGCAGCTGTTGAGCCCTGTGCATGTGTCGTACCCCAACAATATGATGCCACGACTTCTCCTCTTTTTAACCTCCCTGCCCCTGTGGTTCTCAACCTGGGGTCAGGATCCTGCAGGGACCTCCATAGGCAGTTTTGGGGGGCTTGTTAGATGGCAAAAAAATTTTGAAATTCATACTTTTCATGAGAAGGATGAAATATTTCTGTGTCCTCTCACCGAAAGATCAATACCTGAAGAACAAAACTAATTCTCCCACTTAAATCACTCTACACGTGCAGCCAGAATTAATGTCGTTCAGGTGACTTGTAATACAGTGGTTCCTAACTGGTGGGTCACCGACTGCAAGTGACTCACGAAGGTGAAAACTTCGAAAATATTTTGAAGTGCAGTGAATTTCCAGCGCAGAGCTTTTATTTTGAAGTGCTATTTCTTGTTGTAGAGTGAGTGAATAACAGACAGCTACGTGACAGAGACAGCAAACTTGCGTGACGACCAAACACAAGTTTGACGCTGAATATAATAAACTGTGTGGACCTTGAACTGATGATGAAAGAGAAATCTGGACCAGTTTGGAGCCGCTGTTGTGAGACTACTGCCAGTTAAAAGCTACATGATAAGGAAACGAATGGTTTAAGAAAAATGAGCTCCTCACCTGTGAGATTAAAGTGTCCTCTGTGTCTGTAATACTGTGCAGCATCTGCAGGGAGACAGGAAACAAACACATTAATAATGAAAGGCTCTTTGTGTTTGACACAAGCAGCAGTCTGAGAGATAACGATCAGAGCCTTAAAAGCAGTATTAATATAAAGTTATAATTAATTCGAGTATTTGGTTTCTCTTGGCTTGCGTCCATCTCTCCAGCTGTTGTGCTCCCAAACAAGCTGAAAGGACTCCGAACCACTGGTGTTAATTACAGACCATTTACAACCACACAGTTTAGAGTGAAGGCGAGTGAGTCAGGTCACTCAGGGGTGAGCCTCAGAAACAACAACAACAGAGACGCTACGACTAATTAAGTACAATGACTAAAGTACTGTAGGGCTACTCGCAGGAATACTTCATCCTCCAAAAGATTGTATTTTAATGAGTCACCCTGTGTTGAACTTGAATTCATTAAGAAAATGTGTTTCTTGCCTCCACTGTGAACGAAGAATCCAAAAACAGAGAGAATTCTTGAAAAATGGGATCACAGGGGTCCACGTTTAACGACAGCAAAACTATTCAAAACTAGGGCTGTCCAGAATACCACTTTTGGGGCAGTGATGTTTTCAGTCACAGGACTCTTATTAACGAATGCGGCTCTGACCGAGACATAATGAAGGGTAACAGGCCGGTTCTGGTACTGAGCTTTGCAGGTGCAGGTTTTCAAAAGTGGGCCCATGAAGGACTGTCTGCTGCTCAGCTTTGCAGTCAATTTTTCCCAGTGGCCACTCACGGTATTGCAGCGAAAATATCTCCTGCAGTCCAGAAAGCATTTTCCCCATAGACCACCATTATAAAAGAGACGTCTGTCAAACTGTTGACACCTCCAACTGTAAACAAGGTCAATTATCAGGCAGAGAAAAGTGATGTATAAACCCGTGATGTCATCACAATGTAAAGTCTGTAAGCCCCGTGGGAACTGGTGGGCGGGGCCAACAGGAGAAACACTACTGCACTTGTTCAGTGAGCTGCATACCATGAAAGTAAACCAGGAAGCTAGAAACTCTGCTGGCGGTGCGTTTTATAATGATTGGTTTTGTTTCTATGGCAATATCTTGACTCCAACATTAGCCGGGTAGCATAACGCAGGTAACTTAAAACTTACAGAGCTAACCGTGATAAAAGCACAACACTCACCAGCAACATCCAGTGTGCGCCGGATGCTACCAAAAGATGAGCTTATCTGTTTTTATTGTGACAGTCACTCCAGTGGTTCCCAACTGGTGGGTCATGGCCCAAAAGTGGCTCGAGGGTCCTTTCTGATTGGACTGAAAGTGACACGCGAACGTTTCAAGTTTGTTAAAAAACACTTTATTTTGAAGTTCAATGATATTTTTGGCACAGAACTTTATTTTGAAGTGAAGTGTTTCCTGCTGTAGAGAGAGTGACTGATGGACAGCTACTTGACAGAGACAGAAAACCAGCTCAACAACATGGCCGAACACATATGACACTGAATGTGTTTAACTTGCGGACCTTGAACTAATGACTGAGGAGAAATCTGGACTCAATGGCGAACACTCAGTTGGGAACCACTGGGTTAGCTAGTAGCCTGGCTAAAGAAGCAGCAGTAACATTACCTTTTGGAAAAGTTCAGAGATTTTCAACGTAAAGCTGTCGGAGTGGCCGCACAGAAAACGTGGAGCACTCTGAAAAACGCTGGGCGCTGCGCTTTTTCTCCAGCCGGCTGCATGCTGCTGCTCCTCATTGAGAACAACTGAAATAAGATGCCAGCACTGAAAATGCTATGTGGACAGATGATGTTTTGTGGTGGGCGGGGCTTAGCTGGAGGCAAAACGGTTCTCCACAGACATTAGCTAGCGCTAGCTAACAAGTTGTGTTGTCTTGTTTTAGACGATGGAGGAAGAGGATGTGAGTGGTGCGTTCAGAAACACTCATTGTGAGTGTGGGAGCGCACTCTGACACAAACTGGAGCGTTGATAAATTGGGAGCGCTGTCTGAATGTAGCGTTGGGTTATCCAGAGCAGCGCACTCTCAGAGTGGCAGAGCGCACTCTGGACACTATGTCTGTGGAGACGGAGCAGCAGAGCGCCGAGCGGAGTGAATGTGTGATTAACTTAACCGTTGGTTCATTCATGTAGAAATATAACGCTGCGTTTCTTCCACCAACAGGGCTCTCATTTTAGTGTAGAGCGTCAGACTGAATTTACCAACGCACCATGTCAGGTCACTCACTCTCCGGGACCGCCAGTGTTACTGGAATAAGTAAACACTGACCAACGGGACCAGACTGGCCGACCCGTATGCTCTCACTCAGTGGATGGATGATGTCACAGGAAGCCAATCTTACAAAGGAGGACCACACTTGTTTGTTTTGCTATGGAAGCTAACGTTAGCTAATGTGCTAAAAAGTTAGCGTTGCAGAGAAATCCAATATTCCTCTTAATCCCTCCCCAGTTTCTGATGAGGTGGACATGATAACCCTTAATACACATAACCTTATTCATCCCTACAACAGGAAATACTTTGTCCCTAACCTGATATGAAGTGTGCGCTGCACATGTGAGCATTTTTGATGATGGCCTCCGTCCAGTCCTTTGGTCTTATCACATTTAACCATAGTTGTCTTTGTTTTTGTTGACGGGCAGTGGCGGCTGGTTTTGAGCCATGACTCCTTCTATTCTGGCTCCCAATAACACAACAAGACAAACACATTTTAACACTCCTATGAAGCCTACAGCCCTGTGGGGGAGAGGCAGCTGCACCTCCAGGTAACAACATGATGTCATCGTGACGTCGGCCCTTAAAGGGTCTAAAAGGAGTTAAAATGATCTCAACCTGAAACATCTACAGCAGTAAAATAAAACATAAATGCAGCAGGAATATTAATCCAGAAACAGAAATTGAAACATTTTACTGAAACATACCGACTTTTACTTTGTGAGGTTTTTGCCTTCAGGACTTGAACTTGTGGTGAAGTGTTCTCACAGTGTGGGTTCAGTTCTGACTCTGGTTCTGTTTGTCATTTAGCTTCAGCAGAAATCCCCTCCTCCGTCATTCAGGGTGGGACTCCCTCTCTCCTCCTCTCCCCTCCCTCTCTCCCTTCTCATCTACCTCATCTTTTCTCCTCTCTCCTGCTCCCCTCTCCTCTTATTCCCTCCATCCTTCCCCCTCTTCACCCACCCCTCTCTCTCTGGGTGGGGTTCGTCTCTTTTATTTGACCTTTTCATTGCTCCTCCATCACTCCTCCTCCCCTCAATTCTCTTTTGTCTCTTAAAAATGTTTGTGTTTTTTCTTCTCTTTCTCATTCTTTTCATGCCCTTCTTTTCTTTCAGTCCTACCTTTTTTCTCTTTTTTTCTTCCTTTTTACAATGTCTTCTTCCTCCTTCCTTCCTTATGCCCTTTTTTCCTCCTTCCCCTCTTCTTCCTTGTATCCTTTCTGTTTCACATTTATACTTTCCCTCCATCCCTCTGTTCCTTTCGCCTCTCTACCCTCCCTCAATACCAAACTCCATAATCCAATTCCCTGCATGTCTTTGGCTTTTCCTGCCTTTCTTTACGTCCATACCTCTCCTTCTACCCCCTTTCACTTTCCCTTCATCCCAAAACTCCATCCCTTATTCCTTCCTTTATTGGCTGTATCGGCTCATTTCACCTCCTTTCCTTCAGCTCCCCCTCCTCCTCCTCTCAGGGTGTGTCTCTGGATCTGTCTGTATTGATGACTGCATCATGACTAACTGCTGTGAGTGTATACTTGAGTTCAGTCCAAACAAGTCTTTAAAACAGATTAGATACCTCGACCTCCTTTCTCTCTGCTCCACTCTTCTCCACTCCACTATAATGCTAACCTGTTTTATTATATTCTAATGTCACTTTACTCTTTACACTCTTGTGAAAGGTTGTTTTTGCCAGAAATATTGTCACATTTAAACTGATCCTATGTTTAATGACCTGAAGAAAGTCATGAATGCCCTGATCTCCTCTGGTTTGGATCACTGTAATGCTCTGTAAGCCAGTCCTCCTTATCTCGCTTGCAGTTGGTACGAAACACTGCTGATAGACTTCTAACCGATACACGGACAACAGACCTCACCACACCTGTACTGGGGTCCCTGCACTGGTTACTGGTCAAGTACCCTCAGATCCTCAGACCAGTTGCTCCCGGCTCCAGATAGAGACTAAGGGGAAGGGATATTGTGCGTCGCAGTCGCTGCCCTGAATCTTTGGAATAGTGCTCCCCCTCTGTAGACATGTTTAAATCTAAGCTGAAGACCCACATGTTTTATGAGGCCTTGGATTTCCCTCAAG